TTTTTTTTTTTTTTTGATCATATGACAAGTACCTGAATCTGAAAAAGGAAATAATATAAGCAAATTGTTCTGTCTCATGATTTACGAAAAGTAATTTTGTAAAACTGTTGGTCGTATTTACCTTTTATCAGTCTGATCCTAATTTATTTAAGTTCCTGAGTGCGACGCAGAAATACAGTGAAGCACTTGATTACGCGGTTAAGCAAGAAAGATATCGGAATGCAGCGAAAGAAATTGCTAAAGAACGAGGAATTTCACTGGAAGGTAGATTTCGTGACAAAAAATCTAAGAAGGAATATACTGAACAAGTTTTACGAAAAATCATAGAAGAAAATGTAGATATCAGGTAGCAGCATTTAAAATTTTTTCTCGATTCGTTTGTGAAAAAATTAATTCTTACCGTGAGGGCAGCATTCTAACGGTTTATTATTTGAGATTAACTTTTTTATTTAGACAGTTGATATTTAGTGGGAAAGTTTCAGTATTTAGCTCATTCTTGTAGGCTGCTATCACAAGGTCACATTTGAAGATACAATTACACTGAACAATTTTGCGGTTACAGAGGTGGATATAAGAAACCATCAATATACAATACGTTATTGTGGACACTTGTAACTCTTCCATACACGATATACAGGTATACTTAAAGGATCTATATATCACTGTGCGTTCCAGCATCCTTTATCACCATCGGGGCGCTTTATTGAAAACATCAAAATCTTTATTACTTAGGGCTCTTGTTTAAGATTGAGGTCTTCACCAGTCTTTTTTCAACAGAGCGATTTGGAAAATTTGACCACAACAAGTTTGATGCTTAACTCTAGTAACTAGAAAAACATTTGAGGTACATTATCTGGAAATATTCTCTGCTTATGAACTATTACATAAAGAATCAAGAGTATGATGATGATGTTAAGACTTATCTGATACGGACGAACTTAGGTCTTTCGGAAGAGCAATTTGCGGTGAGTATTTTTTTGTCCACCTTGTTGTTATCTCGTTTTATAGTGATAAAATTACAAAATTTAATATGTACCTTGGTGTTTGATTTAATATTTTAGGGGTTGGACGATGACGAAAAAGCGTCGTTTGTAGAAAATGAACTCTGGGATATGAACAAATTTTTTGCATGGAAAGTAGCAAAGGAAGAAGAACAAAAAAGAAAACAAAGAGAACGCTTGGCCGTCAGTGGACGCTATAAGAGGTATAGAAGACTCATGAAAAGTGAAACGGGTAGTACTGTCAGCTTTGTTGAGTAGTTCCTATATAATGATGGTGGGGTGTCGGAGAATATTTTTTTCTTGTCGTCGTTTAATCCCTGAAATATTAAATCAGACTGGCTTCCCTATTTATAAATACGTCTTGGTAACTTCCAAATTAATTAAAACATAGAAAAAGAAATCAAGATTTAAGGACTTCGTATGTGTCTGGCAGTACTATATCGAAAATTGTTTTGATGTTCGCATTAACATGTTGCACATAATCAGTAATAAACATTGGTAGCATTTGTGTCGTGAAGCATGTGATGCGCAATAGAAGATCCTACAATAATACGAGCCCAGTGATCAGCTAGACCGAGTAAGGACATAGTTGAGACTGGAGTGTCTCCTTCGCTCAAAGAACAGGTAACTCCCTAACTTTTAACGGAACTACATTACGTTAACGGAAATGAAGATTTTTCGATGATCGCGATACACATAATAATGAACTCTCAGCAGCGATTTATTGCGTTCAAATTATTGTTTGAATATGACAGACTACATTACAGTTCAGTGAGCTGCTCCTTAAAGTTTAATGCAGCGCCCAAGTGGCAATAAACAAAAGTCAGATGAGGCTGCATCAGCAGTTGCTACACCTCTGACTTTTGTTCCATTTCAAAATGACATAATTAGCTAATTAGATGCGAATGAAATAAGCTCATTACTTGTGCCAGTGTGCATCTTTGCATGTGTTTGTTCAACATAAAACTAAAACAATTGTTTATAAAACAAAATAAAACTTACCACCAAAATATATCAACGTATAATATAAAACATAATAAATTAATAGGGGGTTGGGAAAAATAATGTCGGCCAGTTTCCATAATAATTTTGACAGTAAACGTTTCAGATCACAAATTTCTTTAAAACAGCAGTGGTTCGTAATTTTTCCTTCACACGAATAAGATTTGGGTGATGATGATGAGAAACAAACTGCGCTGAAAAAGGGATTCAAGTAGCAAGAAGACTGCAAACATATCTTAATTCTGATCGGGGCAATGATGTAATATATCTTTCTCAATACTTTTCTTCTTATTACAATACGTTTCCTGTTAACAATGCACTTACACGCAAATTTCTGTTTTTTAATACAAGGTTTTCAAGGGTCACCAACCAGAAAAGAAATTCAAGGGACCTGCGATCCGACTTCAAAACAAGGAGAGAAAAAGGTACAAACTTTCTAGCTAATTTTTTAAATTCACTTTGGTAAAATATTTTTTAAAGTTATAAAAGTTTGAGTAGATAAAACGCATTACTAAGTGATACCAAGCAACTGGTCTATAGTAATCATTTTATTTTTTACTTCTCTTTTTTCAAAACAGCATGAAGTGTTGAAACTCTGGAAAGAGAAACTTAGAGAAAACATTCCAAATCATGAAGGATATGCTTTGTGAATAATGAAGGAAAACTTTCATTGTCCTACCAACAACTTTAAGAAAACAGACTACCCACCTGTTTTTAGTACTAACCTTTTACAGTAAAAACTGTGTGGCATAGTCGGAAACTGTCGTTTCAGCTTTTTCCAAAAGTTCCATTCATGACTAATTTAAACAAAAACTAAGAGAGGAACGCACATAGCCTACTTGAAATTTGTTACAGACTACAAAGAACTTACCAAGTTGTGTAATCAATAATTAATTAGGTCCTGAATAAAAATTGAAAAACTTACTTTACAACTAATTTGTTTCCTTATTCAACTAGATGTATCCTTTACTGATAGCTAACCGTTCCTCCTGAAAACAAGAAATTACCAGTTTCGCAGTGATAATATTTGAGCTTGGAACAGGAGCAATCTTACATTTTATTCACAAAGATGTTTTTAACAGAAACTGAGCACAGACCAGTGATAAATCTTCATCAGGATGCATGATGTGTATCTTTGCTCCAAGTTTTTGACACAAACTTGGCATTTGAAACTTTCGTTCTGATTCAATAGGTTTACTAGAAGACGGGTCACTATAAGCTGGAAAGGCTGCTGGTACGCTAGCAGGTGGAGGTTGTGTCGCAACTGCTCCAGCAGTTGTGACTGCGGGTACAGATACTGGACCGTTAGGGGGTAACGGTGTTCGAGGAGGCATCCCGATGCTGTAACAACAGTTACCAATTTCTGGGAACAAAACATGTGAAATAAGTTGACATAAGCGATTTATTATTGGTATCTTTTGGTATTTCATGACTCATAATCAAAATTTAACAACTTTGACATCTGATTCAGATGTAAAAAGTATTGTTACTAGTCTGTACTCCACTTATTTAAAAAATATATTAAATAACTGAAGTGCTGATAATTTCATTCAGAAATCTGAAATTTTTTAAGGGAATTACTAATCCCAAAATACCTAATTATACTTTATTTTCAATACTTTGATTTTCAGATCAAAATACTGATGTAATGGATTGGTTTTAATGTACAAGAATGGAAGATTGGATTCCATTCATACTCGTTCCATGAAATTCATTCATCAAATATCAAAATAATGTAGTTCAAAAATAATGCAGTTCAATGTCAAAGCTAGCTAAAGGAAAAAAGGAAGAGCAGAAACTTCTTAAGAGTTTGCTGACTACTACTGCTTGGCGGTACAACTGGAAGTGCAGGAAGAGTTCTTGGAGGCGCCGGCATTCCTGGCATAAAAGGAGGAGCAAATGGAGGTAAGCCAGCAGGTGGGATTGGTGGGAAACCGGGAATCATAGGGGGTATACCTGAAATGATATCTGGAATATGAGACACAAAAACCACTCTTGACGATAACGTGAAGTGGTTGCTAACTTAAGGTCAAAATCTGATGAAATTAAAAAGGCTAATGGTATGCAGAAGTTAGGGAATATGTGATAACAGACTTACCGGGAGGTAGCATAGGAAAAGGAGCTATTGGAGGAGGCACTGGATTATTTGACATCTTAGGCTCTTTCTTAGGAGTTTCATCTACAAACAGGTTTAATTAGAGTTGTGGAGAAGAGAAAAAAATTCTTTCTTTAAAATTATATAATGCATTAAAAATTTCAACTTTAAAACTTGTCAGTCTTATCTTCTGACACAATACAAATACCAATGATAAATAAAAAATCAATTTTTTTGAAACCTAAGTTATCGTCAGGTATACCTTCCATACCGTAAACTTCTACTTCCACCGAGTCTTTTCCAGGTAAAGCGGCAGGTATTTTATCAATTGTTTCTTTGTGGACCTTGAAAATGGTTTAGAGTAAAAAAGAGTTGTTAACTTTGTTCAAAATATGCACAGAACATATAATTAATAGTTTTTAAGAAAAATTAAAGATCTAAAAATACCTGCATGCAATGAATAGCTAACCCAGGACCCGTAAACAATTTTTTATGACAGATATGACATTTAAAATGCTTTGCTTTCTGATGCTGAATCAGTATTTTTTCATCTTCGAATTCGCGATTACAGTACCTAGAAAGAAATGAATATATTTCAAGATGACAGTAGGCCCGATCATATTTAAGAAAGCATACTGAATCAATACTGCAATTCCAAAAACGGGATACAAGCCATACCGCAAATAAAAGCTCCAGTAGGCTATCTAAATCAAATAAAAGGATATTTATTTTAATCAAGCATGTTACCAACAATCTTTAAATGTAATTCTGTTTTGCGCATTCTATTTTTTAGGAATAGATTTCTGCTGTTGTATATCTTTGAATAAAAATCATGACATTATATCCTTATCGACTCCAATATTTGATTGGTAAACAATATAAAGGAACTAAGAATGGAAGTCAAAAGACTAGACATCATTGGTTTTACTGAGCAAGTAAGTTCTAATATGCTAGCAATCAAATTTATTCGCAATGAGTTTTTTATTTGGATCAAACTAATCATTAGTATTGTATTTATTGGATTTTCAGGTTTACAATACTAAAAAGGCAACTTACCAGCACCATGGTTTTACTGCACGTTTCTTTTTTCGACCCATATCAATGGAAATAAGCGGTTGGAACTTAAACTCTAATACTGAAATTTCTGATTTACTCAGCGTTTATAAAAAGTTCAAAGGTTGAAAGAGTGACCAGTTATTAATAATAAAAGTGTTAAGTACAGAAAATATACAAATGTCTGGCTTTGCTTTTGCATTACCTTAATAAACCGAAAAAACAACCAACAATAGTGTCGAGAAATACTCAAAAAATAGACGTTATAGCTTCGTCCACAATCAATAGCCGTTATGATGCAAATGTTCCATATAAGTGAAAATCGCGTTATGACGAGTAATTCAAGTATAAATTATTGAATAGAAACTAGAATGTTTCAATAGTGTAGAAGCTACAAATAATGCGCAAAACTTGCGAACAGTTATTTCTATGATGTGTCTGCCATGAGAGAAACCTAAATTTTTCTATTTAATTCTCTTCATACTCATAGTTACAGTAAACGATATTTCTTATATAGTCAATTACCAATATACTTTTCTAGTTCTTTTTTATCATTAAAACTTATTCTCTGTTGCATATTTTCTATTTCTTGTTTAATATACATTTTTTTTGTTAGTCATTCACCAATCACACATAATTTCGTATTCAAAAAATACCGTCCTTATTACTCTAATTTTTTTAAAGTTACTAACTGTAACACAAAAAATAACGCAAATCCATACCAACTGTAAATTACCATAATCTAATTTATAGAGACTTAATATTATAGTAATAGAACAACTCGATACGTTACCAGATGTGATATGATGAGAAGAAACACAATGAAATTCGAGAGATCATATGGAGTCTTGTTTTCTCAAAAGCATGACTAACTATAGAAGTCTCTATCTATGCCTATGTACTGTACTACCTGCTTCTCTTCATTGGCTTACATTTTAAGTTGAAATTTGATTATTTTATACTAGTACTGTAAATGGATTAAAGATCACTAGCAATGCCAGTCTTGCATTCATTCCTTTCACCATCGTTCTGTTTCTCTGAAATTAATTGCATTTTGTGCTCTGAAATGTTTCTATTGATCGAATAAAAGCTATAAATCAACAAAGGCAGTTAATCATTCTGTGATGCATTCTGTCATTTATTTTTTGCGTAGTGCTGTCGTGCTTAAATTATAGTCATCCTGACGTGATTCTGTTGAAATTTTTATAGAATGTAGTGTAAATGAGTTTTATTGATTAAAAGCTTTCACCATACAATATCAAAAAGCTAAGTTACTCGAGTAAATCAACTAATTTTGTACTTTAATCAGTAGTTTAGTAATAATTGTTGCCAATTATTAAGCTTGTTTTTTTTCAATCTTTTTTTAAACAGTCTATTAGAGAGTAATTAATAATAGCAATAAGAGGTCGAGTATTGAAAAGAAATAATTTTCGCAAAAACTAGTAGTCAAGATATAGTAACGATAGTTGTTTGTTTGTTCTTTCTTTCTTTATGTTGGATTAAAATAAAAGATTGGATTGAGGTAGGTGCCTTTTTTGTTTATTCAAACATGATTCAGCGCAATAAATCATTATAGTTAAACATTAATGATATGATTTGGATATTTTTGTTGTGATAGTGTATAAAGTAGGCTTATAATGATTAGGAGTAATTGAAGTGCTTTTGCTTCTGAATTATTTCTTTTTGTTTCTTTAATGCGTTTCTTTCTCGTTGGATTTTTAGTTTTTTTAAATAAGTTATTTTTAAATATTAAGTTGAGTTAAATTTTCTTGGCAATAAATGCAGGATTAATAATAGCATGACGAGTGCATATGTGTCATCGACTATTATTGCTTTACTGAATGAAGCTAAAGCAAAGTATGTGGATACAGCGAAAAATGATATTTTATCGGCATTAAGCGCTTTTCCTGGTCTTACGCCAGATGTGGAATATTTCATTTATCCGGATAATCTACGTGCACTCGCGTTTCGCTTAAAAGGCACTATACCCGTTCTCTACAAGGTTAACATCATTTAAAAATTTTCTCTAATCTTTAAAAATTGCTTTCAGTTTTCAAAAGATTCTTCAACTAAAATGATGCAACTATTTTATTATAGAAATTTCTTTGAGCATTTCAAATAAAATTTTAGGGTAATACTTACAACATACCTGTAGCTCTATATTTATGGGATACCCATCCTTATTATGCGCCAGTATGTTATGTTTGCCCAACGCAAAATATGATGTTGAAAGAATCAAAAACAGTCGACAAACAAGGGCGTATCTATTTACCATATCTTAGCGATTGGTCTTTTCCAGGATATGATTTATCGGGCTTATTGCAGGTGACAACATTCTGTTAATTCTTAAATAAAAGATAATATTCGAAGATTCACGTGAATTTTTTGAAGGTTATGGCAATGTGTTTTCAAGAATCTTGTCCTGTCTTTGCGAAATCCAGCATTACTACTCATGCACCAAGCAGTGGCTCCACGACAGCACAGTCTGTTAGCTATACCCCCTATCCTACTTCCATTCCGTCCGGTATGCCATCATATCCGACTGCATCTCATTTTAATTATTACTCATCTACACCACTTGGAAGTGGTAGTGGTGTTGTTCAATTAGACCATTTGAAAGCATCGGTGATGAGTGCGGTTGAACACAAAATCAGGCAGCGACTTCATGAGAAATTAGGTTTGCGTACCACTGTTGTTTTCTGAATATAAAGAATGTGATGATGAAAATTGGAAAATTTAGTTTGAAGCATCCATTTGACAATTTAAGCAGCAAGATTTTTTGCTTTCATATTTACTTTTTCCATTTGTATTAAAAATTGAAATGTTTTCTGTCCATTTACTGCTGTTTTATTTATAGGAACTACACATGCAGAATTAGCATCCATAAGACAAACGCATTTAGATTTACGACTCGGTCAGAAAAAACTCAGACAAATTGTGGATGATTTGGCACAAAAACAGAAGAATATGGAAGATATTCTGGTTATCTATAAGGTCTTAGTGATGCAAATTTTTATCTTACTGAACAATTCAATAAATTCATCCTTTTTTATTTATTATTTAATTAATAAAGTCAGTCGGAGTTTCAGAAGAAGAAAGACGAAATCAGCTCTCTCCTTTCAATGTCTTCTTCTGATAAAAATATAGAAATCGACCAAGTGATTGATGCTTGTACACCTTTGCATAAACAGGTAAAATTACCTCCCTCTTTCACAATGTCTCATCTTCTCATAGTTACTTGCATATAATAAGATAAATATAATACATTCATTCAGCTCTTTGAAATTGCGACATCTACTTAAAACGTTACGGTTTTCAATTTTCCAACAGTCCACTTTCAGAATTAGTCTGTCCAGCATTATAATTAATTATTTATCGTGATGAATAGGAGTTTTGGATTTAAGGAGATTTTGGTCATGCTTTTCATATAGTTTTAGTACTTCTTTAATTTACCAACTCATTTTAAAGAAATGAATAAACTTTTTCACAGTTTTGAATTATCGTGTTCATTACAGTTACTGCGCTGTTACGTTCATGATTGTGCTATTGATGATGCCATTTATTTCCTCGGTCAGTCACTTACTCGTGGCCGTATTAGTTTGGCAAATTATTTAAAAGAAGTGCGTCAACTTTCACGGCAGCAGTTTATATATCGTGCAACACTTCAAAAATGTCGAATCAAATCGAAAATGCCATTATGAGAAAAATTCCTTTATGCCTCTTTGCCATTCAATCCCATTTTTTATCTTTGTTATTGAGTGCTTTCCCAAATAAGTAAACAAAATACGGAATGTAACATTTTTGTAGATATACATCCAAGATCTCGGCTTTTCAAGTTTGTATTAAAACTGGTCAGCTTAATAAGTAAAAGTTTTCTTCATGATGAATGATGAAAAGATATTTTGATCTTCTAGTTACTTTTATTGTTTGCCATCCAGAGGGATTGTCATTTTTCTGGTCTAAAGTAAAAATTTGCAATACTTGACACTCTTGACATTTGTCAGTGAAAAATAAAATGTGTTTGCAAAATTTGATACATTCCTTAACTTTCCGTTTTACTCATTCTGGTGTGAGTTCAGCTTAACTGTTTTAAACAGATTTGTACTCTCTTAAAAGCATCATTTTTCTCTACTTGATAAAGTAATACAAAATCAGCTGAGACTTCACGTAAATAACATCTGTTGCTAACTGTATCATCTAGCTTAATTGCCAGTGCTGAAATTCATTCATTAATTAACTATCGTCATCAGCAATAAATTTATCATTTATGCGACAGCTAACTGAAACAATTCTAGTGCATCTAAAATATTTATCTTAGTGAATATTCTTCCTCTTTAAGTGGTGATGCTTGTGCAATGTCGTCGCTAATTAATTGTTAATTGTGGGACTACAATTTGCTTTTTACAGGCTCTTGAGAGAAAATATTCGAATAAGCGTTACTATATCAATGATTGATTATGCTCATAATAATTAATGTCAATAATGAATGTGTATCTGTATTACAGTGGAGTAAGAATAATTCAGTTTACTTTGTAGTCTGTATGAAATAAATATAATTGAATTTGCTTCTACCACAGCATATATAATATACAATTAGCGTAAGTTTTATTGTAATAAGCAAAAATGAAATAAAATAATGTAAAGGGAAAAAGAACATAGAAGTAGGTAAAAGCATTCAGTATTAGATTGTTTTTCGTACAAATAAAACGTTTGATAGTCTGAGAGATTACACATAGACAGTTATTTTTAGCTAGTTAATTAATCAGATACAGTTCAAATAACAAAAATATTAGCTATGGAACAGAAATAAGCGTAAATAACAAAAGTATAAGTTGAGAATGAATGATTCATCAATTTCAGATGTAAAAAACAATTTCATACACTTTTATCCCTGAATTTATCTGTAATTTATCGCTAACTTTGTTTTTTATCATTTTTTAATATTTAATGACTTTCAGGTATATACAAATAGAAAGTAATGATAGTAAAGCTGAACTAACTGTTGTGTAAATTTTCCAACGACATAATAGTTTGAATTTATTTCGCCCCGTCCAGTCACTCTTTACCCAATCATTATTTCTCTCAATTCTGAAGGCAGATAGATATTTGCATGCATATATACATATATATATGTATATATAGGCAAGTCATGAAATGTTCTACTGCTCGTTACTATTGTCTATAGCTTTCCATACTGTTTTTTAAATGCTTTATTGCTTTATCTGTTTTTCTTTTAAAAATTACAAAAACAGTTTAATAGAATCAAAAACAAAAAAAGAATTGCTTATCTTTTCTGCTTTTTGTCTTAGTTAACTTTTAAGGGCGCTTTCATTTAGCTTACAGTTAGTAGTATGCTATTTGTTTTTTCTATTTTTTATATTTTTATATCTTATTTTTTGTTTGATCTTTTGTGCTATAATACAAGTCTACAATGCATTTACACAAAATTTTTTTATTGCGTTAAGAACTCTTCAAGCAGTTTTATAGTTTTTTAACGGATTTTTTGAAAATATTTCATATATTGAAAAAATAAATATGAGATAAGTAAGTAATAGTCAGGAAAGTATGCCTATGTTTATCTCAGAGTAGCTTTTTGTGCACAGAAAATGAAAAAAGTCTTTTATTTGATGTAATTTGTTTTAAAATTTCTGTAAAATGGATAGATGATTACTTTTTTCCCATTTTTAAATCTAGGAATTTTCTTGGTTGTAATTGCAATTAAAGATCGAAATTTCGTTTTTCAAACAGTGCCGTAAAATCCTTCACTGTTGTTTTTAATCATTCTGTGCTTGCATGAACTTCTGTCTCTCATTCAAATCTCTAATACATCGTGTACTAATTTAAGTTATTTCTGATATGCCTGAAATGCAACTATTTATTATTTATATTGAGTATTTATGTAAAATATTTTGTAGTCTAAAAATGTGCTTACAGTTAACTATGTTCGCATAGAACTGTTTATCAGTCATTTATCAGTCTGAAAGAAATTCTTATTAATTTTTATTATTATCTTAAAAATTTCCAAATAGCTTGTGTTATTTATAAAAATACATTTATAAAAGTCTAATAGCCTAATGCCACTTTATTCATTTTTCTTTTTTTTTTTATAGA